GGCATCATTGATGGACTCAAGTGTGGCAGCGGTAGTGAGGTTGCCCCAGGATCGGACATTGTTTCGTTCTTCTGTGCATGGGGTCGCTATGAGTCGGTTCCGACTCGATGGCACATGACAACAACAACATATATAGCACAAAGCTATAATGATAGAGAAAACAGGAGAAGTTGACAACAGCAATACAGTTCTAGAGGTTGGAAATCATTTGGAAGGATGAAATGTCGTATCTGCTATGATTCATAAATGTGCATCTCCAGCTAGGATTGCTCCCCTGAGCCCTGGACTGACTAATTCCATGTCTCATAAACACCTTGAACTTCATGCAGTCAAACTTGAACTTCTAATTTCCCCCAACACACATCAAACCTACAGCCTTCCTCATCTCAGCTCATGTCAACTTTGTCCTAGTTACTCAGTCCCAAAATTTTGGAGTGGCCTTTGAAGTGTCTCTTCCACAGTCCATCAGCAAATCCTGTTGCCTCCAGTTTCACAGTATAACACAAGACACATGATTGATTTTTAATCTTCTAATAATCAGGAGTTCTGGTTGTGTAGTGGTTACAAGTCAGGCAGCTAACCTCAAGGCCAGCAGTTCGAAACTACCAGCAGTTCCATGGGAGAAAGATGAGACTTTCTGCTCCCGTTAAGATTTACAGCCTCGGAAACCCTATACAGGGTCGCTATGAGTTGGAACTGACTCCATGGAACACCACCACCACAAATAACCAGGTGCTGTGGAATCGACCCTGACTCCTGAGGACTCCATGTGTGTCAGAGTAGAACAGTACTCCAAAAGGTTTCCAATGCCTGATGTTTCAGAAATCGATCACCAAGCCTTTCTTCTGAGGTGCCACTAGGAGTCCTTGAATCTCCAACCTCTAGCTTATCAGTCAAGTGTGGCAATTGCTTACTATCCAGGGACCCCAATTCTTCTAACAGCTGCCTTAAAAAAATTTTTTTTAAGGATCCAATTATTTTCACAATTCATCTCTTATTTAACCCAATATATATGAAAATATTATCATTTTACTTTGCAATCAACATAAAAAATGAATGAGATATTTTAGATATTTTTCTTTCATACTAAGTTTTCAATATCTTTTTGTATTTTGCTCTTTCAGAATCTCTGTGTAGCCTAGACGTGTTTCACGTGCTCAACAGCTACCTGTGGCTAGTGACTTCTAGATCTGATGCACAGCTACAGCACCCTACCACATCTCCTCACGTTCTCTGTTATCCTGGTCCAAGCTACTATCATGGCTCATCTGGAAAACTGCAAACAAGGGTTATTTAATGAGTCTCCCACAGTCAGAACTAAGTATTTAAAAACAAGTCAAATCGCATCACTCCTGTTACAAATGTCTCAACAGCTCACCTATCTTCTCAGAGTAAAAGGGAAAGTCCAACAGTAACTTGCAAGGACCAGAGCAAACTAAAACCCCTGTCTATGACCATCTGGACCTCACCTCTTGCTCCTCTTCCCCTTGCTCAGTCACCAAGCATACAGTTCTCCTTGTTTCTAGAATATATACACAAGACACCTCTTGGTCTCTGCTTTGGCTGTTGACCCTGACTGTCTTCTGCCTACAATTGTTTGGCTGTCCTCTGTTTACAATTCTCTTCCTTCGCCTCCACCATGTCTTTGCTCAAATTTCACCTTCTCAATAAAGACTCCCTGATCGCTCTTTCTAAAACTGCAATAATTTTTAACTCCCTTATCCAGCCGCCAATCTCCCAAACTCCATTCTTTTTATTTTCTAGAGCACGCATTGCCTCTGACATACTCTAGAATTTGGTTCCTTTTGTTTACTGTCTCTCTCCCCTAGTGGAATGTCAGTATCTCCAGGACAGGGACATCTGCCTGTTTTGTTCACTGCTTTACCCCCAGCACCTAGAAGAGAGCTTGGCACAGAGTAGGTACTCAAAGATGAATGAGTGAGTGGCAAGTAACTCAGAAGACCCCAGAAAGAAGGACTGGGTGAAAGGTTGCTTATGAAAAAGATCTCTAGTTTCCTTTCCTCAACCCAAGTGACTTAACATCTGTTTCTGGTATATCATGACAAAAGTCTAGAGATTCATGTTCTAGAAAAGGTGAAACAGAGGCTTTCTAGACTGTGAGACTCTGGACACAATTAAGGAGGTGGTTGTCATACCCATAACAGAGGGTTTAACTGACTTTGGGTGACCATTCAGCTGAATGATCAGGGCTGAACACTCAATAACACAGTAAGTGTTGAATGCTGAGATTCCTCACCACCACCATGCTGCCCTTATCTACTGAGCTCCAGAACGCTGGCATTCAGGCTTTTATGCTGAAGCAGAGGAGTTGTGAAACCTACTTTGCAGACACAACTTACCAAGGAGAAAAGATCTAAAGATAAAGACACTGCTAATTTTCAAAAGGAATCTTGGTATGGCCCTGTTGGATAAGCACTCGGATTGAACCGCAAAGTCAGTGGTTCAAATCCACCTGCCACTCCTTAGAGTGTATAGAGTTTCTATAGAGGATAGCTATGAGTCGGAACTGACTCAACAGCACTTGACTACATTTCTCAAAAAGTCTACAATTAGGGGGCTCAGAACCATAGTCTTAAGGGACACCATGATCAATTGGCATAACATAGTCCACAAAGACAATATTATATATCCTACTTTCATGAGTGACATCTGGAATCTCAAAAGCTTATGAGCAGCCATCTAAGGTATAAACTACAGGTCTTTGTATGGAAGAAAGGAGAGTGATGAAAATTGAAGATGCCTGGTATCAACCAGTACAATAGACCAAAGAAGCAGGTGAACATTAGGTACCACAACTCTGAGATCAGAACTAAAAGGCTCCCGGCTACAACAACTACCTGTTCTGAAAGGGATTACATTAGAAAGTCTTGGATAGAGTGGAAGAAAATATGGAACAAAACTCAAAATTACTAAAAAAAAATACTGGGCTTACTAGTCAGAAAGAGACTTGAGGAACCCAAGATGATGGCCCTCAATTACCCTTCAGGTCTGGAATGGAATATCCCCTTAGTCACTGTTTTCAGCCAAGCAGTAGATACATACATAGGAGGAATAACAACACTAATTTGGTATGGTGACCAAGAAATAATCAATCATTCAATATCAAAAGGGCAACACTTACCTAAGGACAAGTGGAGATGGGATGGAAAGGTGGGTGGAATGGAAATAGGAATCCCATAGATAAAGGGGGAGAACTGTTATTGCATGGAGGGGGTTGCAATCATTGAGATGAAACAAACTGTATGATTTGTTGGATGTAAAACTTATGATCTTCTCTGTAAGCCTTCACTCAAAACACAATAAAAAGCTAAAAAAAAGTCTACAGTGAAGCTCAGTGTAGTTTCATTATAGTTTCACCTGCAGTTTTAAAGTTCTCTATTTCAGTCATAAGCAAACAACTAAAGATAGTCCTACATCCAAAGAAAGCATCAAGTATGGAAGATACACGGGAAAGGGACAAACACCTTATGCAAGATTTAAAAAGTTAACAAACAAACATCTATCATTATAATGCTTATTTAAGAGAATACTGCATCTATAAAATAAGAATTAGACTATAATGATGGAACA